AAAGCCAAGTAGGGCAAGGAGAAGGGAATACCAGAGAAAGGGGATTCTGATTTTAAAGAGGCTTTCAATAGGTCTCCCTGATGTGACATTTGGGTACAGATCTAAAGAAAATGAAAAGGCAAGGCAAACCTGAAGAAAGAAGATTACAAACTGAGGGAAAGGCCTGGAGGATGACAGGTGTATGGTGTGTCTGGGGGAAAGGTCCAGTGTGGCTGGGAGTGAGTAGAGTGCAGGAGAGGCAGAGTGCAGAGGTCAAGGCAGAGCAGTAATAGGAACAGATCATGCAGAACATTATAGGCCTCTGCAAGGACTTTGGTTTTCACCAGACCACAATGGGAAATAAGTGAAGGGTTTTGAACAGAGGAATTACATTATTTTATTTGTGTTTAAAAAATATTACTCTGGCTGCTATAGTGGAAACAGACTGTTTGTAATAAGAGGGGAAGGGTAAAAGGAAGAACAAGAATTAAAGGCCATTCATTGCTATTGTCTACATGAAAGCTGGTGGTGGTTTCAATTATAATTATAATGATGGAAGTGATGAGCAGCTGTTGCTATAGTGTGCATCTTCCAAATCCCCCAAAGGTTCATTTGTTAAAGGCTTAGTTCCTAGGTTGGTCTTACTGGGAGGTGGTGGAATCATTAAGAGGTGGGGCTCAGTGAGAAATCCCCAGGTTATTGAGGGTGTACCCTTGAAGAAGACAGTGGGACCCTTCACCCTCCTTATTCTCTTTTGCCTCCTGGTCATGTGGTGATCAGCTTTGCTCTGCCACACATTTCTTCCATGATGGGCTACTTCCTCATAGACCCAAAACAATGGGGGTCAATTGATTATAGACTGGAACCTCTAAAGCTGTGAGCCAAAAAAAAAAACAAAAACAAAAACAAAAAAACCCTTTCTCTTCAGAAGTCAATTTTATCAAGTATTTGTTGTAGTAATGGTAAGATAAATAACATAGTTGTGGATGCTGAATATATTTTGAAGGAAAAGTTAGCAGGTTGCTTTTGAATTTGATATGTGAGAGAAAGAAAGGAATTAAAAATGTCTCTAGTATATTTGGTGTTAGCAATGCACAAAGAAAAAGCCTGAAGGAAGAGCATATTTGCAAGGTTGGGAATCAGAAGTTGAGCTTTAGGCATGCTAAATTGGAGGGGCCTGTTAGTCAAGTGGCAATATCAAGCTGGGAGTTGGATGCATACTCTGAAGTTACCAGGAGGAGGAGTTGTAGAGTGAACCTGTACATAGATAGTTGTCAACCTACAGATGGTGTGAAAAGCATAGGAATGGATGCCCACAGAAGCAAGTATAGACAGAGAAGATGTCCAATGAGATCTGAGGCTCTCCAGAATTACGATATGAGGGAGATAGAAAGAAAAATTTGTAAAAGAAACCAAGAAGGAGCATTCATTAAGGTAAGAGGAAAAACATGGACACTGAGGCGTCCTGGCAGCCAAGTGGAAAACATGTTCCAAGAGAAGGAAGGTATTAGCCAAGACCAGCTCTGAGGCTAGATCAGGTAAGCTGAAGGTTCAAACTGGCCATTGGATTCAGCGACTTGGTGTTCACAACTGACCTTGACGGGAGCAGTTTTGGTGGTCTGTTGGGGGCAGGGGCCTGACGGAATGGATTCAAGTAAGAATGGAAGGGCTAATGCCCACTGTTAAAATACTTCTGTTTCAACACTCCAGAGTTGAATATGGCTCTTTAACTCAGAAACAGTCTTGTTTTTGTTATGAACAAACAAACCCCATTATTGAATTTTCATTTACAAAACACATTGTCAAAAATAACTATATGTGTTCCAAAATGGAAAATATAATGAACAGTCATCAAACTGTAGCATAATAATCTACCTAAAAAATAATCTAATCCATATAAATATTCTTAAATTTGGAAATTAGTTTAGAGACTACCCTTTGAAGAAGTTATTAACCCTTGAAATGATGGTGTTATCCTCCACAGTCAACTGTAAATTTACTCACCATCCACCAGCCAGAAGAGCCTTTAATTTTTAAATTAATACAGACATAGAATGCTGCCATGATAGCTTGCCAAAAAGAGAGAAGATCACAATGACAGTTTTATTCCTGTTACATTACCCTGATAACACAAATTTAATTAGAAGATAAGTCAATTCTCTTCCAAGCTATTTTGGGAATTCAGAAATTCTATTATAGGCTGCATTATCTCCACTGTTACCATACAACCTTCAAATAAATAAACAAGACTCACTTGTCACTGAGGTAAATAATGTATTATTTTGCAGTGGAAGGGTGTGTTTAACCTAATAAGTATAAGTTTAAGTAACTTGAGTTTCCTGGGCTCTTCAGACATCAAATAGACTTGAAATAATGATTCACCATAGTCATGTCCTTTTTTCTGCTGAAGGTATCTTGTTAAACCAGAGAGTGTGCATCCGTTTCTATTGCTCATCTTTGCTTATCTCAATATTCAACACTAAGTCCATTCATTGTGGAAATCAGTTAAACTGGTACTCAAGAGCTCTGTTAGGAATCATTTTGTCCCTACCTATGCTTGTGTTTCTGCAAGTCTACAATCTTTTGGCTCAAATAGCTTTCAGAGGCAATTACGTTTAGCATGTGACAAAAAACTGAACATCATAAGATTTTCTTAGCTTTTGCAAGTATCTAGAGTAACCCTTATAATCTTCTACCCAGCAATTTGTCATTATTCTCTCAAAATTAACCTGAATATGGACAAAACCTTAGAAACAAAGATAAATAGATCTACCCCTCTGCCGTCCATTTCTACCTTTGAACTAACAATGTTATCAAGGGAGGGAAAGGGAAAGGCTGGCACCAAATGGGCTGAGAGTTTTCATAATTTCTGAATTTTGAAATTCTTTTCAAAGGAAAAAATACATAAGAGGATATTTGTCATTATTGGAAAAAAGGATAAGAAAATGTCATATAACATGTAATCAGAAGTACAGAAGCTAGTAGTTTTTAGGAAATAGTCTCCATTAATTTGTCAATATAAGAAAGCATGACTATAGAGTAATGAGTGAGCAAGTTACACATGGTAGTCATTCTGATTATCTGATTACTAAGTATAACTAATATTACTATCAAGTATAAAAATGAATTGCTCATTCAACAAATAACTAGATGACACCTACTTAAAGGACCTCATAGCTTATTGAAAGATATAGAATCATGAATATATAATTACAGTGAAATTTATTTAATGTATTAACAGATGTCTACCACTATTTAGGCTAGTACCCTATGCCAAAGAGAACAGATGGAACTTTCAGAAAACTGAAAACAGTGTTTTAGTGAGGGGGGAAAAAGTGTAATAAAGGCATTTGCTTTAAAAAAAAGGATTGAAGTGTAACAGTATTAGATTATACTGGTGTTTTCCCAATTTCATTATATAAGTAAAATATTAAAAGTTAATTGAAGCTAATCTTTGACCTTTCATTTTATAAGCATGTGGTTAAAACTATTGCCTAAAACTTATATGTATATATATAGACACACACATATATATATATATATATATACACACACACACACACAAACACAGAAATATCAGTATGTATAGAACATGTTTGCAATAGTAAGACTGTTGCAAAGGAGTGGGGAAGGATAGAGGAAAAGAGAATGACAGAGAGAGTGAATAATATCTAAATACATTGACCTGTGTAGGAAGATGGCATAACAAAATGTACTGAAAGTTGTTGAATAATGAGGAAAGGGGGAAAGAGCAAGGAAGAGTAATAGATGGGGGTTTATCTGATTAAAGTCCAATATATTAATGGGTGAAATACCATGGAGAAACTCCTTTGAACAATGAATAAACACTTAAAAATGAAGGACAGGAATGTAAAACAGGTCTTGTTAAGGGGTGAGTACTAGTGGGAGGGGAGAGAGTGAATAGAGAGGGTAAAGAAGGGTGACTATGGTTGATGTACCTTATATTCGTGTATGAAAATAAAACAATGAAACCTGTTAAAATTGTTTAAGTGGGAGGAGGGGGATGAGGGAGAGTGGTGGTGGAGGTGAACCTAACCAAGATATATCATAAGCATATATGGAAATGTCACAATGGACCCCCCCATACAACTATTATTTGCTAATAAAATGTTAAAAACACGCATATCAGAATCATTAAAAATGGAAACATAAATAAGGTGGGTTGGATTACAGTTCTTACTTTCCTAGAGTAAAATTCCCTTTGTTAGTATGTCTGAATTTGTTTTGAATTGTAAGTTTGATGACTTGGAATTCATGTGAACTATAGTGAAGGAGTTTTTAAACTAATAAATTCTTCTGTACACTACACTTTTTTCAGTATTGGCAGGTTTCCATGTGTTTCACTATAAAAGACACATATATAACTATCAAAACTGTAAAACAGGCTTTATAATAAGCAAACAATTCATATGACTCATGTAGTCATTCAGAATAACCTTGACTTTGTACAGAAATGTCATGTAAGCCTTGGAATACATTTTTGTTGCATTATCAGATTAACATGGGTCTACCTCAATTACATGCTTCCTTCACTAAAACTTGGGAACTCTTTACAGATTTATGAACTCCTAAGAGATTATAAAGATTCCCTACCTTGTAGGGAGTTGTAGGAAATAATGCATTTTATGGTTACAATATGCTTTATGAAAATAAATATTATCTCAGATCACCTTTCAGACTATGAATATGCTCTTTGTTCCTTTAAGTATCCCATATCAGATGAAATTCCTCTTTTTCAACTCCCATAACTTTTGTGCACAATGTGACATCTGGAGAAAATTTCTGGATATCAAATTGGAATAGCCTGTGTCCATTAACTAGTCAAAACTGCCACCTACTGGTTAGTCTTTGAATTTATTTTTCAGTTCATTCAAGCCTTGCTCTATAATGGAAAGATCCCTCCCTTCAAAACAGTGAAGATCATCTACAGACTTGAAACAAATATTCTTTCAGTAAAGATTTACCCTCCAGGGTGAGTCAAAATATCAAATCTTACAAACCTGCCAATAAAATCATCCCTTTTCCCAGCATCTTTGTCCCATGCAGTAATGTCAATGATTCCTCCTCTTTCTTCATAGAGATGAAAATCAAATTGTTCCCTCCACTGTGGATTCAAAGTTTTTGGCATAATCTGGAAAACCAAAAAGTCATTGCTACCAATAGAAGCCTTTAAAAAACTAACCTGAAACACTAAATCAGGCTTTAGGTATCACCTAGAAAAATCATGTAAATATGCTTTTTAAACCAATGGAAATTAGTCATTAAAGCTTTAGCATTTTTACTGCTGAGTAGACCCCAAAAGATTTATCCTGAAAAATAAAAAGGAATCCCTTGATTATCTTCATAACAGATGAAAAATGAGAATTATATTGAAAAGGTAGTTCACAAATAACTCACTCAGATACTAACATTTATTCTACATAATCATTGTTGATGGATGAAGACATAATTCATAGTCATGATAAAGGAAGATGAGAATTCCCAGAGTTTATTTTCTTACTTACCCTTCCCTCCACTGGTGTCTTGAATTGAGTACATGAAAAATAGATATTGAAGTTCTTTGGGATCAGGAGGGAAAAGTAAGAAGTGTTGAGGTGGACAAACAAATTTTTACTTTAGTATTCTAACCCTGATACAGTACTCCTATGGAGAAACTTTGTATGTTCTTCATGCTACATATACAAGAAAGATATCTAAAGTCAATTCTGTAATTTTCAGATGAGACACCTGGCAGAATCATCAACAAAGTTACCTATACTTATGTGTTCTGAAATTCCATTCAGCATTTTGTTAAACAGCATCCATATTTGTTTCCCTGTTCTTTTCTTTTAGTAAGAAGGTATATAGTGGCCTTTTCTCTTTTTAATATATGGCATATCTCCAGACATAAAGAGTTTGAAAGCAATGAAGTATGTTATATGCAAACGTAATGCAAATTAATCACAATTTTTAAAGTACATAATCTGTAATTACTCAGCAATACACCATGTACAGAAAGAGCAAAAAGAGGCACATGTCCATAGCCGGGTTTCATATTTCATACCTACAGAGCAGAATGTAAAACTAAGGAATCTGTAAGTCTACTACAACACGACACAGAAATGGTGTTGAAAGAAGACAGAAGGACCATAGATACCTACTTTTGTAAATAGTAGTCGCTTTAAAATTTGTATTAAGCCCCATGGCAGAAAAAGTGGATGACACTGGATAAATACTCTAATAATGCAAATATCTTAAAATGGGCTCACGTGCTCCTCTATGGTATTTTGGGGTATGTTAGTCTTAACCTATCTGGCCATACACAGAGTAACTTTTAGTTTTCATTTTTAGGATTGTCTTCCCCCTATGATTTCCTTGAGGTCAGAAATGATGCCTTCCCTTTCTATGTAGGCACTCCATAAGAAAAGCAAACAGCCTGCTAGCAGATCTCACTGCCTGCTAATGAATCAGGTCTGTGTTATTTCTAAGCATCTTAAATATGGATGAAAACTTCCTAGGGTAGAAGGGAACTAGGTGGGCTCTGTATCAAAAATACATGAAAATGTTAATACCAAGGAAAAGGAATTCCCATCAAAATGGAATGTTACCTTTAATTCAGGATCAATCAGTTGGGACAATCACTTGTCCCAAGGTGTCTATGAATAAAAACTGATCATAAGGAAATTATAGTTGGATATCACACAGATAAAATTGCTCAAAATATAGTTATGGTTGCTATGACCTTTACAAGTTATTGTTACTTCTATCAATAATAGGCTGCTATTACTACTTAATATGTCATTACTAAGAACATACTTGTTGCTCTGTAACTATTATTATTGTTGCCATTCTTCCTCTTCTTTCTGCCTTTAGCGTTTACTAGGTATATAAGCAAGGCAATATTCACTTACTCTTCTCAATAATTTTCTTATGTAGAATTATTTTAATTCTCATTTTTACAGTTGGGTAACTGTAGTATACAAAGGCTAAGTAACTTATGCAATGGCACATTGGTCATAGTGGCAGGAGGAATTTGATCCTTTGTTTTTTAAATAAAAATAAAATCTTGAAATCTGCATTGGTACAAGTCAGAATTAAATGATCTTACAAAGATTTCTATGACTTGTAAAATAATGCTACTTGTAGTATGGATAATAGCACTACTTAATAACCCACACTCTGAGCATTTTATGTGCTGGCATTATCTATGTTCTTTTTGGTGGTGTTGCTATCTTTCTTTTAAATTCTCACAGGTGTACTAAGAGATAGTCCCTACCACTATTCTTGGGTTATATAAAGAAATTGAGAAAGAGAAATTACATAGTTTACCCAAGGTCATCTATCACATAAAGTAAGAAAAGTCATAGAATTTTTGGTGTTGTAGCATCCCAAAGTATCTGGTGTTCTTATCTCCTAAAACATGGCTATAAACCAATCAATTTCTCCCCAACATTGAAGGAACAAAATAAAAATAGTAAAGAGCTACCTTGCTTTTATATTTCTGATGCCCAAGCCGGAATTTCACATAGGGATCACTCAACCCATTGGAATCCATCGCTTTGAGGTCTCGCCCCTCAATTAAGGTAATGCTGACTATTCCTCTCCACAGATGTGATTTTCTGTGCTGGTCTGACAGACGTAAACTCTGGGTCTGAAACTTTGGCAAAGAAAAATTGAATTAGGATATTATGTTTTCAATCCAAATATCTTGTTTGGCTTTATCCTTTCCCCTGTTAGAGTTTTTTGAAGAATAACATATGGGCGTTAACATTTTAAAAATTATGGACTATTATTTGTTAATTATTAAATTATTAAATGGTAATTTCATGATAAATTTGTTGTGTTAAAGAGGTGAGTGATCAAATGCAGTCTAGATTTTCTACTCTTACAGTTGTAAGATGAAGATAGTTTAAGAATATAAGAGAATATTTGCATTTGTGTTAATTATGCTTGTGTCAAAATATATCAAGTAAATATTATAAATATTAAAGTTCACATTCACACTGCAGTATTTAATTTTATTTATGGTTTTTGAAGACTTTTTTCACGTTACAAATAGATTTTACAGGTGGTTTTTAGTTACAAGATTTGTTGCAAGTTATATTTGGATAATATAAAAACTTTATTTAAAATCTCTCTTGCCACATTAGGAGATAATTGAGTATCAGCTTATTAAAGAACTATTCAAAGTACCCAGAACACATAACAACATCAGTATGCCAACTCAAGCTATTTTGCTTATGTTTGAAACTTGCATCACAAATATTTAAAATTATTTTAAAAATTACATTTAAAATAAAAAATTACAAATGTAATTATATTGGCCAGTATGTTCTGGATTTTTTTCTCATTCTAGTATTTGAACATTTTCCTTAATGACTACCATTATGCTCACTTCTAAATCACAATATTTAAGCCAGTGAACAAAATCAGAATTTTCTAAATTAGCGAGTATACTAAAAGTATCTATATAATTTCCTTTTAAATTAATAGCATATGAAAAAAAAACAGAGAAAGTAGCTACACAGTAAAATATTTTCAATCTGGATTCAGCAACACATAGTACTATAAACTTATTATTATTAAGCATGTTTGTTCTATTTACAGTCATTCAGGAAGAAATTCAACATTCCTCTCAATCAAAAGGTACTCCACTTTTAAATGATGACCTGTTTGTTACTTAACTCTTTCTACATTACTGTTATAAAGTCACAGCCTATTTTGTACAACTCCTTCCCCAATTTTGACTTTCTACCTTTGTCCATATCAAAATGCCATAGCCATCTTATATGTCATCATCAAAAGTCATGCATTTCAGGGTGCTTTACTAAAATAAAATAAAAACTATGCTCTTCAGAAGATAATTCTAATATCTGCACATTGGAGAACTTTCCAAATCACATTGCATATCCCTTGTTGGTGGCTTTGCCTTATTAATATAAACACAGAAATTTGCCTTACACAGTATCAGCATACCCTTTACCTCTGTGAGCCGCAAGATCAGTGCTCAGCTGTGAAGGGTCAACAATTGAGGGCTCACCAGGCACCTGTAAGTTCCACAGAACTCTGTGCCCACTTCAGCTAGAGTCTCTCTGCTCCCATCTGTTCTGCATGCAGGCACTGGGTTTCCACATTGGATTTTGATTGAACAAAGAGTTTCTCAGATTAAAATAATCGTTTAGAATTTGTTGCACCCAGCAATAGCTAAGGTGTTTGTTTCCATTTTTGTTTTAGTTGTAAGATTGCAGTATACAGCAATAGATTTTGGTGGTTCAATTTAGTCACCTCTGCTACTGTTGAGATCGCTTCTCTCTAACAGTAGACTCTAGGGAATCTGGTTCTAAAACTCTAGGAGAGGTAGCCTAAACAATATATACACACATGAATAAATGTATAAGAAAACTCTTTTAAGGAATAAGTGGCAAGGGAGGAAAGAAGGAAAGCAAATATTATGGCAAGTAAGAAGAAATAATTAGCAAAGATCAGTGAGTTAATAACTGCCCATTTATATAGAGCCTTAGAAGTGGAAAGTGTACATCTGCATTATAACACTTGGCTCCCACTAAAATACTAGATAGGAAGGCAAGGCCTCAGCTCCTTTTTACTGATGAGGAATTTGGAGCTCAGAATGTCTGTGCTAATAAATAGTAGATATGTGACTAGAATCCCAGAATTTCTGGCATTTATTCCTCAACTTCTCCCAATATAGATGTTTAGGATGGAGACTCTCTTATAGGTTTAAAGGTAATCAAAATTTAACCACAATTTTGCCAAATGGTGCTCTCCTGTGGATTGATTATATTTGAAATGACATTCCAGTACAAATTTTCTTATATGACTAATTCATAAAATCATCTTCTACTTTTCTGTCATATGAGTACCTGTATTCATATTTATATTTCAGCTTATTGAAGAATTACTTAATGCCATCTACTACATAATCTCTAGGAGCAGAAGTCATACTCAATGCTCATTTGAATCATAGTTGAGTAAACATAGGTCACACAGTGTCTTCAATTAACAATGCTAATGTCACAATGAAACCTCTTAATCTGTACAGCATATGCCCCCAGTTACTAAGTTGGTTTCTTTAATAACCTGTTTGCTTTTCCTCCCATTTTTTTAAAACATAAGAACACAAACAAGGTGAGGAAGAAAAAGAATGCTTTCCGTGGGATCTTTCATGCTTTTACAGAAATAAAAGGAACTTAATGGAGTCTTTGCCTGCTGCCTGTAGCTGTTAGGATGCTTTTATATAACCTGGAAGGATATTTCTTAAACAACTTGGGAAACAAAGGGGGAGAAGGTAGCAAGGTATTTCTTCCCAAAAAAATGAGGTTAATGAATGTGGGAATTAAGGTGGCCCCTGCAAGGGACTGAAATGAAGATAGAGAAGAAAAAAAAATGATTCCAAAACCATGTTATTTAGACTTTTAACTGACTTTTTTATTTTTCAATAACTTTTGTTCAAAATGGCATATTTCTAAAAAGAAACTCCATAATATAATTCAGCTGTGGATCTTACTGTATAATTGTATAGTTATTGAGTAACTATGTAGTCATAGAGTAACTGTATAGTCATTAAACATAAATGTTTAGTTTAGACCATGAATAATAGAAAACTGAAATAAAATCATGAGGCAAAAGTAGCAGATATCAACTTAGACCACCAATATTTTAAAAGACAGGTACTTAAATACAGTTGGTCCACCACATCTGTTGGTTTAGCATTTGTGGATTCAACCAACCATTGACTCAAAATATTCAGAAAAAAATTGCATCTGTACTGAATATGTACACACCTTGTTTTCTTGTCATTTCTCTCTAAACAATACAAAATAACAACTACTTACATTGAATTAAGTATTATAAATAATCTAGAGATGACTTAAAGTATACAGGAGGAAGTGTGTAGGTTGTAGCAAATACTAAGCCGTTTTATATAAGGGACTTGAGCATCTGCATATTTTGGTACCCATGGGGGAGGAGCTGGATGGAGCCCCCACCCCACCACCATGACACAGAGGGAAGACTTCATTTACTCACATCTTTCTGGCAATTCCTATGTCACTTGCGTATATTGTTCCCTCTTTGGTTCTTAGTTTTCTTATCTTTGTTTTCCAAGACCAAAGTGCCTCCAGTGCCTCCAGCATACTAAGAATAACATTCTGTTGCAGCATGTGTGTGGGGGCTGGATATTGGGGTGTCACGGGGTGAAGTATATTCCATAAACAATGAAAACTCCTCTTTCCCAAGATAGTCTTTTATTATTTTTACCTGTTTTTAAAAATCAAGGTTCTGAGGGAACTCATTGAAGAGGAGATGAGGAGCAAAATCCCATAGCCAGAAAAACTTTGAAAATCACTAACGTTTGTGCTTTCCAAGGTACCTTCTGAGTCCCTTACAGCTCTGTTTCAAAAGTTTGCTTTTTCTGTTTAACAAATTGATGAACATGTGGTCCAACAAGCAGTGGCATCAATACCACCTGGGAACTTGTCAGAAATTCAAACTCTTTACCCTTTCCTAAACCAATGGCATCAGAAACTCTTGAGAGTGGGGTCCAGTCCTCTGTTTTAATCAGTCCTACAGGTGATTCTGATGCAGGCCAGTATGAGAGCCCCTGCTTTGAAAGTTATATGGTACATACATTGGCCCACCACATATTCTAATATCTATTGCTAGTTAGTATAGTTGTAAACATTACCCTCTCTTTGGCATGGACATTATTGATGCTGATTGAAGTCCTCCTTTAATCTTGCTTCTTGATTTACTGATCAGGAAAACAAATTAGTCTAGACAATTCAAGAATTTGAAAAGAGAAGCAAAAGCCTACCAAATAATTGTGAAAAGTTTAATGTATTATCTTCCTTTATTAATGTTTTTTCTCCTAGAATATATCTAAAATATATATACTTATTGAAGTATCGACAATCAGTCAACCAGAAACTCCTTATTGAGCACCCAAAGGTCAAGGTGTATTAAACAATTCCAAGAGATCCCTCAACAAAACTAGGATATTACAGCTAAGGCAATGTCTCAGCTAAATCTTTGTTAAACTGGAATTCCATTTGAGGGGGAAAGAAAAAAGGAGAGAAGAATAAAAAGAAAACCTAACCCAGGTTGAAAGCAAAGAACTAAGCTTGTATAAGATAGAAATAATCTTCGAACATTTAAAGCAGTTCTTAAATTTGAGCCATCAATTTGTTGAAATTGATGGTTCTGACCATTCCTGGATGTGACTCAGTTTTGTGGAGTACAGCCATATCTTTATTTCAACATGTGCCCCATGTGATTCTTATACACACCAAAGTATGAGATCCACTCTTATAAGGAACATTCATCCAAGTATAGAATTAATAAGAAATATTCAAATAATGGGTAACAAAATAAAGGATGAAGCAATTAGTTGATAACATGTATCTTTAGTAAGACTTTAGAAGTAGTTAAGTTGACACTTTGAAGAGAATATTAGTTTACTTATACTGTTCCTTGATTAGAGAATTTAAGGTTATAATCATTTTCATATGTATAAAATAAGTTAGGATGGAGGTGGTTTTTAGTATGGTAAGTCAGTCTTCAGAATTCACAGCTCATGCAAGCTCAGAAAAAAAACAAATGGACTGAATTGTTGAACTTACTTGTGCATTTGGGCAGTAAGGACTCTGAAGCTCTGCTCTGCAGAAGCCCAGGACAGGAAGAGCAGGCCTGCCGTATGTCTGGATGGAAATGAATGATCAGAGCTATATGGGAAAACATTGTGCCACTCTCAACCCCTGATTTTGATCAGCATTTAAAATTACTTTTAAAAATACATCATTTGAAAAAATATATATTTTCTTCTCAAGTCATTGTCAGAAAACATCGTGTAGCACAATGAAGATAAGTGTCAATGCAAATCTATAGTTTCCAACTATGTTTTTTTTTCAAAAATAGAATTATGCTGCAGTGATAAAAGAAAATATAGCCTACAGATTATATGGTGATGGATCCTGCTTATGTGTTTTTGGGATTTTAAAAAGAGATACGTCAGAGAAAATAAGCACAGCAAGAGATATCATGGAAAAATAATTTTTCTAAGCTTGATGCTACAAAAAATTTTAGAGCTATTTTTCCAATATCAAAACAGTGATAAGGCTCAAGAAAAATAAATGTTACTTGGACAACAATAATTATGATCATGTAAACCTTGCATTCCACGTGGCATCTTTTGTAATGACTAAAGAAATAACAGAAAACTTAAGTAACAGAAAACTAAGTACCAGAAAATTTGTCCCATATCACATTTTTCTTTATTGACTTCACTATCAGAAAACAAAACAACCCCCCCCCGCAAAGATTTCTTCCCTAACTAAACCAAAGATAAGAAAGAGATGAATTAAGAAATAGATAGCTAAGCAAGAAATCCTGGAGCTGAAAGTTGGCATTGCAGACTTCTAGAGATGCTGAAAAAAGTTTCTGAAGTATTATGAAGACAGGAGAGCTTTATCCTTAGTAAGATAACCAGGGAGGAGTTGATTGACACTGTGAAAGATGGGCTAGGTCTTACAAATAGAAACATTTACTAAGCAACCATTATATGCTAAGTGTTCATCCTCCAGTATTTTTCATGACAGGCATTTCTTTTTTAAGGTAAAGAAACTGAGGCACAGAGAAGATAAATATTCAAATAAATAAATACTCAAAGCCAAGTGACTAAACATTGGCAAGGCTGAGATTTGAATCTGGGGTTGCTGATACCTAATTTGTAATTTTCTCTACAAACCTCATTATTCTGTACAGAGTCTAAGAAGTTTATGATAGGAAAGAAATTATTTGGTATAGGTTTTCCAAATTGTTTTGCCTTTCATATAGATGAAATATATCCTGGTTATAGATTGCTGAGATAAGCTAATTAGGGGCTGAGAGGAAGTAAAAGTAGTCAGCTGCTAATAACTATTGGCACATATTATTTAGTAAAGCATATGAGAGTTTACTGTATTCTATAATAAATTATCATCTTATGTCTCCCGATAAGGTAGCACACTGAGAACACATCTGTATTCTCAGTCCAGTTAATAAAATGTGTTAATTCCATTCCTTATAAAACTGGATTACTAATACTAGGATACATTATATTAGTCTAGATCTTGATTTAAAAATAAATCAAAACAAAAAATCTATGTAGATTTTACTTGTGACTAAGGGAACTGAGTTATACCAATCTTCTCCTGATATGTACAAAGAATCCCTGGCTTTTGTTATCCTGGATTTTATTATCTGTGTAAAACCTAATCCTTCCAAATGAGACCCAGACACTGAAAAACCGGAGTGAAAGATAGAGTTTGTGTGTTTACAAATAGCTATGTGTGGACTCAGCTCTTTTCTCTATTTTTAGCACAAAGGTGGCATGTGCTTTTATTTAATCAAATGATCCAAGGACCACTACAAAGAAAGATAACGACAGCTAGAATAACTGTTTTGTGCTGCAAAAACTAGTGTGTGGAACAATTATTAACTCAATCCCAGGCACAGGCATGTTCTGTCTTTTCCTTTTCCTGCAGAGTTGATTCCAGTGAATTGCACCTGGATGATGAAGTCCAACAAGTAGATTTGTTCTGCAGTCATCCACCTTCTCAAAGTAGGATTGACTTACAGAAAGCCTTCCCAGTGCTTTGTGCAGCCTAGTATAAAGTGTCTCCTCTAACAACAAAGCTTCAATCCCTTTTTTCTTAGAAGATGATTCACTGGCACTGTAATCCTTACAGAAATTCTCCTGGTTTTTATCTTTAAATTTTTCTTTTGTATATTTATTGCTTCTTGATACAATTTGCGGTCCCAGGAGGTCATTTATGTTTACTTAGATTTTTTAACTATCTTTACTAACATTAACTGTGGCCAAATAAAATTTCTTAAGCTTGTACTATATTCTTCAAGGCATATACTAATAGAAAGTTACTATATATATTTTAATTTCATTGGATTGTTGAAATAATCTACAAATTTCTATCATTAAAACAAGAAAGAAATGATGGAGACCTTTTCTTTGGAAACTTTTAATTAAAATTTATAAGTAGTTTTGAGAGTCTTATTTTCATACTTTCAAAGGGGAGTAATATTTGACTTTTTCAGGAGGTACGTAATATATAGTTGAGTTGTTCAGAATGTAAGTGCTTCTGTACAGGATCACATTCTTGTTTTACAAATCAACAGCTCTTCTTAGTCTGCAGTCTTCCTCAATCACACTTCTACTTGATCCAACCATAAGGCATGCTCTGACGTAAATCCACATTGTTCTGTATTTTTCTACTTACTCTTCTTTGCCTGTCATAATCCTTTCTTCATTTTAATATTACATTATCTTGGCATATTCCATCCTTTTCCATTTAAAAATATTAAAATTTCTCTTTAATTCACTACAATATCCTGTACAATGGTTTGTTCAATTAACTCTGTTATCAGAAGCTAGCTGTCTGCTTAGTGGAGATCTCTAGAAAGAAACATATGTATGCTAGACATTTGAAAGAGTTTCTCTAAGTAAACTTCATTAATGGGAAGTTAAAAGTCTTTAATAAAATTCTAACTTAATTAAAGTAATTCAATTTGATTTCACATATTTTTTATTATCTTCAAGAGAAACATGGTAATTGCCACATCTACTATTTAATAATGCTTTGTGTCCTAAGATGAATTATAAATGCTATGTCTTTGGAAAATGAGAATATCTGTATCACTTTACTCTTTCTATATTTTGCTCTTATCACAATTAAGATATAGCAAATAGCACTAATATTCCAGCTAAGCAAGCTCTCACTAATATTTAGTTTCATTACTGTAACCTGTTTGTTACCTTTTGAAAACATGTATTGATTCTTACAAATTAACGTGATAAATTTTTCTTAAAATCACATCCTATTTAACTCACAGAACATATGCACACTCTTCATGCAAGATTTTATCTGAGCTATTTAGGGTTTTGTATATATCTGAAAATGTCCATGGGAAACCTCCTTCCACATACATCTCTAAAACCTTCATCAGAATACCAATACTGTTCAAGTAAAGAGCTATGGGTCCAGTTATCAAAGCGTCTTTTGAACATAAAAGGTGAGATAATACTGATCCAAAGTAGACTTGATCACTGATTATCTGATTGTGTAAATGGGATGTCAAACCCAGCAACTCTTCAATAAAGGAGCAGCTATATTTATATGCTGCTTTATCAGCAACTTAAAGTGAAACCTTACTGCTGCAAGTTCTTCAGACTATTTATTTCTATGGAATTTGGAAAGAGAATACTGGTCCTAATCATATCATCTGGATACTTCAGGGTAATGACATCACTTCTTTGGGCTTTAATTTCCTCATGGGTAAAACAAATGGCTCCATGGTTCTGCCTTTTACTAAATTTATTTGTTAATCCTTTATTGTTATATAGCAGAAAAAAGATGTTACCACTATACATTGGATAGAAAAAGCTATCTTTTAAACCTACACATTTATTGTTCTAAAATCCGACAGTTCAAGAGATTGAGAAAGATTATCAAAGATTTTTGAAAGAAATATTCAATCAAATAGAAAGCACTGATAAATGGAAAATACTAATTTAGAAAGAGCATAGTAGAAAGATGTTGAATGAGCCCCTTGACAGGGAAACTCTGAAAAAAGTAGTTATAGACTTAGTTCTGGTGGCAAATCTTGACTTACAATGACCAGTCTGCATGTTTTGCTGCACATAGAACAAACTTGGCATGGAAGACCCCGAATACTAATCTCAGATAAGTGTGCTTTGTGAATTTGCCATATTTGTGGGTCATAAGAAAACAGTGAAATTTTTTTTTTGGCAAAAATGCCATTTTCTATTTGAGGTTATGGAAGGATTTGAAAGCAGTCAGCCTTTGTGCTCATGGACAATATATAAACATAAAAGAACTGTTATTCTTTCAGCAAAGATACAGAAGACCTCCAGTGAAGGCAGTAGATTGAAAGGAAATGAAGAGGCTGTAATCATTCAAGTGAGGTCACAATAATAAAAGACTGCAAAAAATGTGTGTGTTGGAGCAGGCAGGGGATGAGTAGATGTGCTTGTACTTGCTCACTGGTCAGTGCCTGACTTAATCTGGAATCTGCTTAAGAAACCCTGCAACAAATGTTAAAACTCTAAAGAAAAAAGGCAATTTTCTATAATCATAAATGGTTTGAAAGCCAAGAAAGGAAAGGAGCAAAGCCCTTAAGAGCGTAACATTTTCACTGTCACATCTATTGCTACATAACCATGTCCCAGTGTGAATTTTCAAAGAAAGAGGGAAAGTCCTAAAAGCAAAGTAGTACTACTGATAAAGCATGTTGTATATAATGCAAAGTTATAGCAGAGAAGAATGGAGGACAGAGATCATAATGTTTAAATCAACAAAGAGTAAATTGCAATGTCATTTAAAACTAATCTGTGGAATTTTTATTTTGTCTTCATTTAAATCAAAAGCAGGGTTGATGTTTTCTAAATCACAGGTTGATTTTTCACAGAAAGAGCACTGACTATCTAGCATAGATCTACTGTGTATATTGCTTAAGATCACAAACAATGAGTTCAATATCATGGAAATATATGAAGTTCTCCATGTTTTCAAATGAAGACCTGGTAGAATGGCTCAAGCAGTAGAGCGCCTGCCTAGCAAGTGTGAGGCTATGAGTTCAAACCCCAGTACCACCAAAAACAAACAAACAAATGAAGAAATAAGTCAGCTGCCTAGATGGCTTAGAATAAAGTTAATGAAGAAAGCAAATGAATACATAAATCTGGGAGTCTATTTTAAGAAGTGCTGAATTTCTTAATTTGCATTTAACTTTCAAAATTACTATCCAGAATAAAAAAATAAGAATAACATTAAAGGATTTAGACATTACCCTCCAAAAGAAAGACTTCACAGAGAAATAAGATCCAACCACTTCATTTTCTGAGAGCTCCTAAAAACAAACAAATATTTAGCTAATTTTTGAGAAGTTTTTGAGAATACTTAATATTCAAAATCAAAGCAAACAAGATAAAAACAAACTAAAAAATCAAAATTATGTATATTGAAGAGACTTTGGATATTTAGAAACTAAAGCTTTTTCTCTTGAGTAAGTTGAACTTCTGCCCTATTCATCTCTGACACGAGTGGTAATAAAGTTTAGAGAGGATTATTTCCATATTTTTTAGAGTTCACTTACCTCTTTTTTCTCATGTATTAATTAATATATCTTGGAGCCTGATGTTTCATTACAGAAAGTAGAACTGTTTAAGCATATGTTAAGATTTTGAAATAAAATTAACAATACTTGTTCCTTTTAGCAACACAATCATGTTAACCATAGATCTTGGGAGCATTTGAAAAAAATGGTAGAAGTCTTTTTAAACATGTACCTAGTAATTCCTTACAAAAATTTCCTAACATAAGACAATATATTATAACAAATATAATATAAATGAGCCTTTCAAAAATAATTTTAAAAGAAATTAATACTGAGAAAGGTAACTATTGGGTTAGAAACAAAGCAATGGATTAAAATTGGGTATTTTATTAGCTAAGCCTCAGGCTTTTATAGAGAAAGCAATTCAACTTTGGAAAATAAAAATATAATTTAAAACAGAGCATTTAAAATTACATTCTTCTTTTAAACTTTAAAGTTTGCATTCTGTCTTGGGTCTCAGTTATGGTAAAGTTAAAGGAAACTGATGCATATGGGAATCTTCAGTCTGTGACACTGTGATGAAGAAGAAGGAATCTTGCAATCAATAATCTTGATTATTCTGATTTTCTGTTAGCAACCAAAATTGCAGAAGTCTAGCACTCACATGATGCCCAACACATAGTAGGTGCTCAATAAATTTTTGTTGCTTGACTGTTAATCCCTTAAAGTAACATTTTATTAAGAACATATAATCCTTCTAAGTATAATAAAACTCATAATAGAAAAAAAATGAATCGAACATTTTAGACTTCTCAGCAATTTGAAAGATTTAAGAGTAGAACTAGAATTACATCAGAGATTGTCTATGCAACCTACCTGTGCTTTTGAAGTCTATTTCTCAATGAAACTAACTGCATTTTTCCAGTTTGCTTGCTTAGAGTTTAATTAGGCAGCATTATTTGATCAGAGGTCATCAGGAAAAAGACTTCATTTAACATATATATATATATATATATATTTTTACCAGCACTACAGAGCAATGATTTGCACATTTACAACTGTGGTTTTCGTGTGACACATTGTCATATCAGATTCTAAACAACAAAAACATCATTAAAAATAGATTTACATTTGGATGTCAGGGCAGAGACTTTAAGTGGAATGATAGCTGTCATTCTTAATGCTATCCTATCTTTTAACTGAAAGAATCCTCTTCCAGCTTTTAGAAAAGTTCCATGGTTTTCTGTTCAACTGCAAATTCCCTTGAGTTTGATTTGTAATTATTTTTGATTAACTAGCATATTTAGCTCATGTGAAAACTTTGAAATATTGTATTTAAAAAATTAGTTCTTAGTCTCCTCATACAAATAATTTCTTTGTATATAGCTTAAGTTCATAGCACAAGTTATATATCTAAAGGAGTTTTTACCTTAATGCAAAATGTGTTAAGGCAACCTTAATGGAGATGAAATTTTAATGCTAGACTCTAGATAGAGTGAATATTTAAAGGTATGATTAATTCATTTAAAGTTTTAATGTTCTAAGGTGGCCAATATGTTGCTCTCCAATCTTCCTTAGTTAGAGGTAGAGGGTGTTGACCTAATCATGTGCCTAGCATGCAAAGAGAAAAAGAGATTCATAAATTTAGGGGGTGAGATGGGGTGTTAATTTTAATGATCAAGATTTAGGACTTAGGTTGCTCTGTAAAAATTTGAGAAATAAAAACATGAACCACATTTGGATCCACCAAAATCCCTAGGCTGCACTTCTCATGCCATGTTTAATTACTTCTGTCATTCATCAACTAAAATTTATATTTCATTTTACAACCCATATTCTCATGCAAATTTAGTCCTTTATTTCAAATGAAACAATTTCATTTTCTTGTAGACTCTGGTGCCATTTATTGCTCTGCATGGGTATGAAATTTACAACAGACAGTCAAGGCTTTCCTTTCATTAGAGTTTATAATGATAACAACAACAACAAAACACCTGACATTGTAGTAATAAGTCCTAAACAAAAGTGTTTATTTTCACAATGAGAGAAAGAAAAATGGAATAAGCCATTCATAATTCCAGAGAAGACTTGGTTTAAATTATCATTGTACATATTTACTTATATTTCAGCCTCCATCAAGACAAGATACTGAGAAGTGAGGGAAAATGCTATTTTAAAGGTGCTAAAATTAAAAAGTAACATCAAAAGAAAGCAGAAAAAAATCAGAGACATCAAATTGATAAAGGAAAATCATTGAGTTTATTCTGAAAAATGGAATGTGGAATTGTTTCTACTAAGGTTTCCTACTTATTAAAATAGTAAAATTCTTTGGTAGTGTTTTATTTAGCTCAATTTTTGCCTTCAAAAATCTAACATACTCTAAAAAAATTCCTCCTTGAAGAATGGAGGGAGCAAATGTAACTAAGACATATTGTAACCACATATGTAAATATCACAAATTAGCCTCCTGTACAACTATTACATGTTAATAAAGAAAATGAAAAGCAATTGTCCTCAAAGATAATCTTATTATAAGCTTAAAAATTCACTATATTTTAAATTTAAAAATCTAAAAGATATTGTTTCATCAGAGAAATAAAATTAGAGGATATGTTTTTTCTAACAAATGAATATGATACAACTTTTCCACTGTACATAGAATCATATAAACCTCTTAAGACTTTGTCATCAGCTGGAACAAGGATTAGCCATCAAAATTTTTTAAAAATACTTCTTTAATAAAAGAAGTATACTTCTTTTATTAAAGTATTTTATTAAAATACTTTTTTTTATTAAAGAAGTATTTTAAAATTAGCCTTAAGAACAATTTTTAAAACTAGTCCAGTCATATTAGTTCTCTGTTGACCAGTCAGAAAGGATCATGGAAACTGGGTGGCACACTTGTTACCATACACATGTCAATAAACATAGTGCATGTTATTGTAAATGGGCAATTCTTCAAAGACCAAAACAACCAATATAGATTTGAAACTGTGAACAGTGAGATTTGACTGTGTCAAGGCAGCTGGCATTCCTGATTGCATAAGTCTGCTTTTACATGAGCACAACTGGCTTTTATCAGTGGTATTTGGGGCATTTAAGAGATTAAAAATTAAGTAAGTACATAAGTAAATCATCTACATAAGCTTTCCTGGTCAGACCGCAATCACTGTTCATCAAAAACCATGGCTCTCGGATACTTTCATCCTTTTAATAGACAATATTGACTAAGCCTACTAATAGTTATGTGAGCTAGAGTCTTGGCAACAGTGTCCCCACAAAATTACGAACTGTTTCTGTTGTGGAAATTTAAAGTACATTAAAAATAATAAATCTCTTCCTAGTTGCATTCAACTTAACATTTATCTATCATCTATCTATCTATATCTGTCTATCTGTCTATATCTATAATCTATCTTTTAAAATTAAGACTATGCATATCTGTGAACCAGTCCTTAGTTCCATTATCCTGAAGTCCAGTTAAATTACACATGTATGCACATGAATAAATGAATAAAAAAAATAAATTAGTTCTCCTTACTGACTAGCCCAAGAAGGACTTAGGAAGGATGTTGAGAAACTTGTTGGCATACTTGTTAACAAACACCCAAAATGTGAAAGTCAGTCAGTGATGATACAATGGGCATCACAGACCAGGAACACAGACATTGTGGAATTCGTCCTCGGCTTCATATTACATTTTGTCCTTTTGCTTTGTACCAATTCATCCAGATTTGCTCCCAGAAGGACCCACAACATTTTAAGTACATGAATGTAATGCCAATGTTATAGCAAATCTCTGTAGTTATGAATTATAATGCATAAAATTACAATTTTTTTGTCCAAGGGGAAATGTCAAACAACAAGGAAAAATTTATCTCAATATAAAATTTAATAATGGTTTCATACATCTTGTGTGACTATCAAGTATCTACTGGCATATCTACATTTTAAAATAAACTTACACTGAATTTCAGGAGTTTGGTTAACTGGGATAAAAATACATGCTCTGATAACAGAGTGGCTCATTGCTGTTCACCATTTGTTCATTGTTGCACTTTGGAATCTCAGAAGTCTTAAGTATGAAGATGACTTTATAGTATTTCCAAACACAGATATGGGCATAAAAATAATGGGAAAGTAAGGATTTATAAATAAGATTTTGTGTTTCCTTCAAAAACATGTGAACATATCATTTATCAAAGTGTATTCATACTTATTAGAAATGGTGCACCAAAAAAAAAACCCATTTTGTCCACTCATAGTTGAGAAAGTCTATTAAAAGGCTTTCATTTTTATAGTTTTTTAAAAGTCACCTATTTATTTGAAGTTTTATATAAAGGATGTGATAATTATTAAATAATATCTTTTAAAATTATGCCTGACAATGTGAGACATTTAAAAATTTGCTAACTTGTTTAACCTTCTTTACTTAAGTTAAAGCACTTAAAGTTTTCACTGATGCATTTTTAATGTGTCATCCAAGGTGTCAGATTTAACTATGCCCTGCAGACATGCAGAGTTGACTGTTCTCTGCTTAAATTAATGGTATCTTTTGTCAAAAGTCTTATTAAAATAATAATAAGATAAAATGTTTTATAGTTCATTAAAAATTAGGCAAAGTGATTATAATAAAATCTTTTTAAAAAGATATATTACAAAAAGATGTAAACTGTCAAGTAATAGAGTAGTCTATATTATATTATTTAAAGGACTAACTTATCTTAAAAGAATTCTAAACTGTTGTTTTCGAGGAGATGAATTGCAACATGTACATTCTTATATTGCCACAATAATATTTCTCATACTTATTATTATCTCACTATAACCCAGTGACAAACTCATTCTTCTAGGTACACACACACACACACACACACACACACGCACACACACACATACAAAATGTTGCATGAAATCATAGCTACTTACCATCTGATAGAGCCAATTATTTCATTATTCTTTCATTTTTTGTTTGACCCCCCAAAAAATTATTCACAAAATATATACAAATCTTCTCTTTTGAGCTCATGAAACTTTCTTGATGAATAATTTAACCTTAGAATAAATTATCATGAGAAGCTTCTTCTAAAGAATAAAATATTGCAGTAACTCAAAGCATTACCATTTTTCTGCCAAAATACATTTTGTCATATAAGTGTAACTCTTTGACAGAGATATTATCCAGTTGCCCAAGTTTAGGGAGACATTGATTTTTTTCTCCTAAAATAACGTAATTCTATTACTGCTGACTGTGGGGGAGAATTTTAAATGTGCCTGATGGAAAGTGTACTTGAAGAAAACCAGTGTGAGTGTTTGAAAGGATATTATCATCCCCAGAAAGGGAGATATTATGGAATTTATAACTATGATTGATTTGCATGATATTCAAAGGTAGCACATATTCTACATACTCTTGCTCTTTAGAGGTAGGTATACGTATGTACATGTATTAGGTGATGATACATTTACTTCAAATAATGTAAGTTGATTTTGAAGAGCAATTACGATTTCTGTAACCTCAAGATGGCTACTCTCTCAATGTTAATAGTAAATACAACTTCACAGCATGAATGCCACAAATAATAAGATTTCTATTGAAAAAAAATCTATTGTTGGCAGAGGTACAGCAACCAAAATCAAATGAAAAAAATTCATCACCCAAAGTTAAGATGATGGAAATGACAAGCAGATATTTCAGTAACAGAAAATTCTGTGCACTGATTTACCTTGCATAGAAGTAAGATATGCGTGTTAAAATAACAATTTAGCATTTCCCCCTGTGTAGTTATGTTACTTTAGAAAGAAACCAAGTCAAGGAGAAAAACTCTGTACTGTAGAGAATCTTGAATAACACTATCTGGCTCTATTTAGGTCTTCACTACAAAATTTTTGATTCTCAGGTTTCATATTCACCATTGGTGCTCAAAGATAGGTTGAGCCCCTACCATAAAAATGCAGGAGACCTCACTTCTATACATTAAGATCCTAAAGAATAAAATGATTTGTGTATATGACTTTGTGTATATGACTTTGAGCATAGTCATATAATATCTATTTCTATATAACTGTTAAAGTATAAATACCTGCATTTAAATGTAGTGCAAATATATTCTTTCTAAAATTTAAAGAAAAATCCTTATTATGATAAGAATCTTTAAAGGAAGATTAAAATAAATAGAAAGGGGATGCATTTCCACAAAATAGTAACACCATAAAATTTATAAAACCTCACAGTTTAGTCAATTACTTCTATTCTCCCAGGAAGCACAGTTTCCTGGAGGAAAGATTCAGGAGTAGTTTCAACTTGGTGGTGTATCTGAAGAATGGTGGACTAGGTAGTAATTGAAATGTCAAACTTTCTCTGGGTTTTTAATTGAACACTGCTCTTATAATACTAATATAGGTGGATATGGCAAATGTTTTAGGGCATAGTGAAAATTTGAATAACTTAGCAGGTGTTCATTATGCTCTCATAGAAAAAATAACATGACTGAAGTGATTTTAATTCACTCAGCATTCAATATCCCCATTAAATTTTACCAATTTGAAAATCCCTTTGACTAAAACCCAAAAGTAATATTAACACATGTACTAAATATAATCTTCCAAGTATTCAAATAAATGCTGAGTTAGACACAGGGATTCTGCACTGTCAGGGGCAAACTTGAAAAATGTACCAATTTGAGTGTTTAATTGGATTATTAATAATAAAAACTCCAAGAATTTTAGATATAATGGAACAGATATTTATTATTCATTTAAAACTTTTTGTAGATTCAAGAAAAATATGTGGATTTATTTTTACTTAATTTATTAAGTTTAAACATAAATTAAATATATTTTAATAAAGAATTTATTTCAGGGTTTTTTTTTAAGATAGTCTTATGAGGTAGCCCAGGTTGGCCTCAATTTCATAATTTTCCTCCCTCAGCCTCTGAAGTGTTAGGATTATAAGCATGTACCACAAAACCCAACAAAAAGAATACTTCTATTCTTATTTTATATTACAATAAATTGGATCATTCCCATTAATTAATACTAAATACTATGTAATATCCTATTCTAGTATTACATATTAAATTCATCTGGAAAGAGGATTATTGCTATACTACTTATGGATTGTTATTTTACATAAATATATCACAATAGTGATACAGAATGAGGAAAAATCAAATTACATACCTTTTAAAAAATCCATACACTTTTAATATAAACACTAAATTTAAAGTACAATTATAAAGAAGAAAGTAACACAAATATGAACAGTGCAAACATCTTTTTAAAAGTTGTTCAGTAAAAAACAGTGAATACTGACATATTCAGAGTTTTCCTCCATCAGCATTTTGGGGGCCCTGACATTTTGGTGAGTTATTTTTTGGTCATTAATGATGTAAGAATTGGAGAGGAACTGTATATAAGAAACATTTATTAAAACAGAGTATAACATTACCACAAATATAAAAAACATTTTAACATGAGTATTTTCTTAATTCATAATAAACTAAAAATGGCAAAATTAAAGAAAAATTTAAGTAATTGCATGATTTGATCAGAATGGAAGAAAAAAGATTGTCATGTTCCAGGGTCTAAAAAAATTCATCACAATTAAAAGGAATACTGACTTTTTAAGTAGAAATTTGAGCAAATGCAATTTTTACAAATGAAATCTGTTTGACTTGTTTCAAGGCATAGTCATAAAAATTCAGCTTTCTCTTGATATTTATCCATGTCCAAGAATGGTACCACCACCGAATAAACTAAAAGCTCAGTTTATATCTTACATGGTGTGTAAGTTAAATGAAGAGTCCAGGAGCCATAAGCTCCTCTCACTCCATTTGATTTCTTGAAGTGAGAAGAGGCACTGCAGAATTGTTCTCATTATATGCTCCAAAGCTAAAATGATACAGTGATTTTTGAGTTTAGAGAACTTCACATTCAGTTTTCTGTGAAGAAAAGTGGTAAGTTTCATGGATATTTCCTCTGTCTTGAGTCTTCTCTGTCCTAGACTCATCATTTTATTCCCAGAGCAGAGTGATTTTCTAGACCCTGTTGTACACATAACAGAGATCAGATGCTGAGAAGAAGGTTGAGAAGTGACCAGAGATTAGCAAGAAGATGATTTGGATGCTCTGGATTGGTGTGATTTCTGTTTATTTAGAAAGCATTACATGATTTGCTTAAAGATTATGGAGAAAAATAATCAGATAGTGATGAAACTCTGTGGAATAGCTTGAAGAGAGATGATAGGGATTTGAGAAAGCAGCTGATAATCTTCTCAACAAGAAAAGCTGAAAGACCACATGCTAAGAATTACCTTACTTGATCTTTTCCAACTCTTCCTCATTAGCATTGTCTGTAAATGAAATAAAGCATTTCATTACCTTTTCACTCCAGTACAGAAGAGGCAGCCATTGTTTTCTAGAGGAAACCTAACATTTATTAGCTGCTAAAACAGCAAACTGTTTCCAGCAACAACTGCAGTGAGACAAGAATTGTTTTTCACACACACAGAGCCTGAGAAGCACCTTTTAACATTCAAGCAGTCTTTCTGGTGAGAGTTCATTGGCTTTATTCTTTGTGTGAAGAAACGAAACAGTATATTTTAAATTGGATGAAAAACTTGAAATACCTTTAATTATTGACTAGAGGAAATACACTGAGTTTCATGATTCTTAACTACTTTTTTTTTGGTGGTGGATATTGATGGTGTACTTGACTTTACTGGGTATATAATAATTTTTCTTCAAACACATTTAAAGTCTGTTGCTTTGTTGTCTTCTTAGAATTGTCCCTGCTGCCAATCAATCTTTTTTTTTGCAGTACTGGGGTTTGAACTCAGGGCCTCACACTTGCTAGTTAGATGCTCTACCATTGGAGCCACCTCACCAGCCCTCTTTTAATTAATCTTTAACTATGTCATAACAAATGCTTCCAATTGAGAAAAATGCCACACACTGTGATGGATATCAGTGCATCTTCCTGCTAAACCTTTAGCTAAAATATACCCTTCAGGCTATTTTGTTTGTGTCACATTAAGAGCTATTTATGGCTAAATGTTTTAATTAAACTTCTGAAGATTTGTGATGAGTGTCTCTTGCATAAACTAAGTCAGAAAGCTCAAAGATTAAAAAAAAATTCTCTCTGCTTAAAAAAATTTCTCAATGAATGCTGACACGTTAACCTTTCTGATTAACCTATTCATCCTGTCTTACCACAGTCTTTAAGGCAGATGAAGTGGAGAGAAGGGAATATTTGGGGCAAACAACATAACATAAAGAAATGCTTGCCATGCTTGTATATCAAGGAAGCCCACTGGTGGCTTTAAGAATGGTATCCCCTTCAGCAGAATTCACTCTAAAGGAGGACCATTTTAGGAACTATTTAGAGATGGCTAACATGCAAAAAAAGGAGAGATTTTAGTTTTATAAGACTAAGACAACCTTTGACCAGAATTTAAAAAATAGAATTATATAGTGATTTTAGGATAGCAAAAAAGAAATTGTCAAAGACAATGACACATTCCTTTTATATGTAGATAATGGTTGTACAGTGTGTATTTTATCAACATACACTGTATGTTAAATAATGGCCAAAACATGGAATAGTAATTGATTTCCCAAGGTTGTAATAATTCTCCCTCCCTTTTTTCAAATGGAACCAGGAAACTGCAAATCATTGTTACCAAATGTCTCTATTATAGAGACATTTTATGTTTTCTAAGTGTTAAGATCCAATTCATTTTAAAGCAACAAATACAATCACTGGGTTGTACAGGTAGACATGTATCAGACATTTGTTGTTGATGTTAAAGAAGTCATTGTCATTGGGAGCAGCGGTACCACCAGCAACAGTGACACCATCTGTTCTTCATCATCACCAAATGGCATTTGCAAACCGAATTCTTTAGTGGTATGCCATATCCACAAAACTGTCCAATTAGGAATCAGATGAGAAATGACCAACTTTCTCAGAAAACAGAGTTTCAATGGACAGAGCAAGGTAATTCCTAGAGACAATATATGGAGAAAAACCAAGTGAGAACAATTAAGATAAATAAGTAAAAAAGTAAAATCTCTTAACCCATGGTCATTTATCGTCACATTTAGCATCTAAGAATCTTATAAAACTCCGTTCTATAAGAAATGCTATGCTGTAAGTAAAAGGGCTTAGACCAATAGGCAGAGTGAAATCTCATGATAATACTCAACAAAATAACAAGGACTCAATACTGATGGTCAAAATCACATTCCTTGACTCAGAGACACTGCCTACAATTAACCTTCAAGACAAGAAGCAAAATATAGTTCTGATATTTTTCCTGTCTCACAAAATTGGCTTTCTAAACATGCTGCATGGTTTTACTTTTCAGATTGGGAAACTGACACAAACAAAAAGTCAGTGATTTCCCTAATTATAAGTAGGAGAAATTTGGCAGTTATGAGGACCAATTCATTATTATACTGATTCAGCTCTGAAAGTTCTATTTTTAGATACAGTAATTCTCAAAATGGTCCCATTTTTATAACAAAACATCTGCCCTTTTAGCCAAACCTCCTAACAAAGCAATGGGTTAAGTATCTCACACCCAAGTTCCTTTTTTGTTGTTGTTAGCTGGGTTAAGGGAAACACAATAAAAACGAGAAAAAAGTAGAAAAGTTAAAAAGCAAATTAATTTAATAGATTTAAATACTAATACTGTTGTCTTTGCTATGTGTGAGATTTGTTAAAAAGAAAGATTGGGGAATGTTAAAGATAGGAAATGAAGCACATTTTAGAAAAATAAGATTTAATTTTTGCTCTATGTTTTTAACTGCAGCTAAGAAACATATGAATTAGTTCTAAAGGTGTCAGTAACTAATATAGCACAATTAAAATTTTTCATTTGCAACTCAATTCTTTTTGAAGCTAATAAAAAGAATAAGAAACAGAGAACTGTGATCACTGTTAGAGCTATAGAAGCATTTGTTTTTAAGAGATTACAAATCTTCATTTTTTCTTTCATCTTTTGTTGTGATTTTTACACAGTTGTATTGTTAATGTACATACAAAAAATCACAAAATGGTTAATTCATACAACTTACAAAAATCTATATTTATCCTTTTGTAGGTAGATATTTCTTCAGATTTTGTATACTAATTCTGAAAAATATAACAATTAAGTCAAAGAAAAACAAAATTTTTTTGAAATTCACTAAAGGCCAACTAGGGTCAATTCAGATGTTTCTTTGGGTTTTCTATTTTTTTTTTTTTTTTTGCCTTAGCCAAGCAATTTGTAGTTCTAGGTTCTAAGAGAGTGTGTAACACAAATAACTCACTTTTAGTTCACAAATTCTCCAATGAAGAAAGCTGTGGATTGAATTCTGCTAGAAAAAGAGCCAGAAAGAACTCAAACACACCATCAGACAAAAATACCATATATCGGACAACATGTAGGCACTACACATTTTGCAGGTTCAACAACAGGACATGCAAATGAAACAGAAATGACAGTTGTACCATGCAATGCATCAACATGCTCCCCATGAAGGTTTTGGTTTCTTGTACACACAATGCTGGAGACTTAAAAATAGAGATATCTAAATCTGCTCACATCTGGGGCTTTCTTTTTTTTTAAAGACTCAATCATGAACTCAATGGAGAAGATTTTAATATTGGCAACTATGAAATACATTTGCTATTGCTCATTCTACACTTCTTAAATTGCTGTAATTAGATATGCATGTTTTTGAGGCTTTAGTAGATACAGTTGGCTGATAGGTTTTCAACATATTCTTCAGTTTTACTGATTTCCAGAAGTGGCAATCCACAGAAAAAGAAATCATCTCAGCTGCAATATTCATGGAATATTTGTCAGTGTTTATCAGTGCATAAAAAACTCACAAGGTAACTGATTTCCAGTTGTTCCCTTCCCGTTTTTCAACACTGCTTTCTTAATGTTAATATTCTATTTCCTACTTGACTGTTAGGACTTGTCTGTTAAAGACCTTTGAGACTCATCTCTCCTATTCTCTATTTTAATACATGTAAAATATTTAGCAAAGTTTTATAAACACAGGAATAAAAATAAATATGTGGTTTTTGAACCGAAGTCTTCTGTCCCAAAAGCCGAAAATAAATTATTTCTGAGCTGGTAATCAAAGACAACAGTACTCTTCTTATAATTTTGCTATGCAAGGCTCAATGCAAAGTCACCTTCTGTTCTTGCTATATGTCACTTATGTTAAGTGGAACTGTGATGCATTCAGTAGCTGACCTCCCAGTTTGAATTTCTTACTAAATAAGATTTGTTCCTGGATAATTTGTGAGAGTTCAGCATGCCATTTTTACTGAAGCAGTGTGCTTTACATTTAAGGCATAGAAAAATTTAATTTAAAGATATATTTGATCTTGTTTTTAGCAAAGTAATTTTGAATGTGTCCCAGAAAAATGCATTTAGCTAATACTAGACATGTTACTAAATGAAGAAAATGCATAGAGTGACATGTTTATTATATTCATTGTGATCATGAGAAATACTTGAGAAGACTAATATAGTTTGATTTGAATTTCATTAATAAAATAAATTTAAGAATTTACAAAATGAAATTAGGTCATTAGTTAGCCATAACTTAATGTTATTTGTGACAACCTCAGGGATTTGAATATTGAAGCAAGAGTAAAAACAACCTTAAAATACTTTCCCCTGGTCCTCTGAAGCATCCCTTCAAATTCTCACAGAGATGTATCTACATGATGAGCAGGCACTAGGTATAGGAAAGCTAGACTAGGTTTTGAGAGAAATCATAAGGATGTTTTATGTATTATGTATGACACTATATTATATGTTGTAATACATTACGTATCCCCTCCCCCAAGATGATAGCATTGGGGATGGAGGTCAGTGAAGTATAGACATATTCAAGGAAAGGTGACATTGCAGATAGCTTGGATTTGAATGAAGGTGAGTGGGGAGGAGTTTGTGAGGCTACAAGTGAGGGAACCTGTGTCACTTGTTGGAGAGCCTGAAAATTCTGCATCAAGAGTTTCCATCTACCTAGAGAAATAGGCACAGGTCACTGAAGAAGTAGAAGAAGAAGGAGGAAAAGGGGGGTTTCAGAACCTAATGGAATGCATACTAGATGAGTTACAACATTTTTCTTTATTTTCTTAATTGACACATCAAATTGCATATATTTATGGGTACCATAATATGGTTCTATACTTGTACATGTTGTTTATTGTCCTAATCAGGGTAGGCACATCTATCTCCTCAAGCATTTATCATTTCTTGGTGAAATTCCCTCAAAATCCTTTCTTCTAGCTCTTTTGAAGTATGTAACACATTATCATTGCAACAGCACACCAGAACTATGTGTGCCTATCTAATTGTGACTTGGCACTACTGACCAACCTTTGCCATCCCTCATATTCTCTCCAGTTTCAGGTAACCCCAATCATTCTACTCTCAACTGCTATGAGATTAACTACTTTTAGATTCTATGAGTGAGATCGTGTCTTTCTGAGCTTGCCTTATTTCAGCCAATGTGTCCTCCTTTTCCATCCATCTCACTTTTTTTCATTGAATAGTGTTCCACTGTAGTGTATTTTTTAAAAAGACAGCTATTATGATCCCTGTTCAGAGTTTCAAAACACAGCTAGTTTTAAAGATCTTAAAAAAATTTGCAACAGAATAACTGTTTAGGTCAAAATAAAGAAAAAAACCAAAAAGCATACTTATATGTACATGCTGACAATTTTCACAATGTAAAGCATTCACTTAGAAACTCAGATTTAAATCTAGGATATTAGAATTATGAAAAAATTGGTTTTTAGTAGCTCTGAGGAAGAAGAAGAATGAGGGGGACATCAGCAATGGAATGGGAGGGCAGAAGAATAGTTTCCCAGTGTGTGCAGCAGAATAATCCAGTGCTACCTGAGGCTCTGGAAGTGGAGGGCACAAGGTTAGGCAGTGAATGAAAACTAACTGGCCGTAAAGGAATTATTCCTAAAAAGCTGGGATAGTCAAAGGGATTTCAGTTATGGAAACAGTGTAAGGATTTTTGGAGGAAATGTTTGTATGAAGGGTGAAGGTGGCTAGAGAGAGATGATAAAGAGAAAGGAAAAGCATAACGAAACACTTCAAACACTGCTTGAAGAAGCAGGGAGGATGTAGGAGGAATAGGATGAACTTGTTCAAAATACACTGTATGCATGTGTGGAATTACCACAATAAAACCGTCCTATTATTAATGTACACTAATTCAAATGAAAGTTAAACTATTACAAAAGATAATGAGTAAAAAATAAACTCAATAGAGGATATATTATAATGGATAGATAAAATTATTCACTACATAAGTGTTATTTCTTTTTCTAATTATAAGTAATTAAATGAAAGTCTAATGTTATAAGGATTTTAAAAAGATGAATATGACCAGATTTTTGATATTTTACTCTTTCATATACCCATTTGTTTACATCCATATTCATGTATGAAAACTCACTGATAATCAGATCCTGGTTACTACAATATTTTTAATTGATTTTCTTAATTAGCAACATATATTTTATGCCTAAAAGCGGCCATGGAGAGTGAAGAATTTTTGCAAGGACCATTGAAGAAAAAATAATGTTAGAACCTAGAACTACTTTGCCTGTGCTGGCATATATTTCTGTATACTTTAGATAAACTCAGCAACTTCATTGTAAGGTCTCTTGATAGCCACTTGATCTCCCTAAACCCTTAGCTTGATGTTAGAATGTTTAATAAAGATATCTTTAATGTAAATATTCAGCAGACTATCTACCATCAAACCATTCACAGATTTACAACAGCTGTCATATCTTTCCAATTTCAAGTAATATTGTGAGATTAGATTATTTAGGGATACAAAGGACCTCAGGCATTTAGCTATTTTCTTGTGAAGTACTTTCCTTCATTAAAATAACAAAGAACCCCAATCAGGAGTATTCTATCACCAAGTTTTGTTGATTTTTACCTCTGACAGGTAAATCTGCCAATTCCCCCTTCTCTGCCTCTGACAGTTCTAAACCAAACCTCCTTCATCTTTTACCTGGATTTTTGCAATAGCTTCTTAATTGGTCTCCAAGCATCCATTCTTACCCCTTCAATTTATTTTCTACAACATAAGTACTGAGATGCTTTCAACAGGCAAATATGGTTATGTCACTTCTCATTTTCAGACCTGTCAATAGCTCCCTGTTACTCTTTGGGAAAAGACCAACAAACCTTAACATGGACAATGGACCCCCTGCCCCTACAGTCTGGACATCTCCCTTACAGTCCAGTGTGCCACATGTGGTGTACCATGCACCATGTTCACACACACTATTTTCTTCTTCCTCTTCTAAGCTCTAATACCTTTTAGCTCTTGAAATGCAATATGGTTTCTGTAGCCACAGGGCTTTTCATGTGTTGTTTCATCTGTTTGAATAACTTCTTCTCTTCCTGTTTTTTTTTTTTATTTTTTGTCTTTTTAACTCCTATTCCCACTTCATACCTTAGTTCCCATTTAACTTCCTTAGAGAACCACCCTCCTGCTAATTAGAACAAATTTTCCTATTTTCCTGTTTGCTTTTTCAGAAACATGTACCTCTCTTTCATGGTACTTAACACAGTTGTCATTTTATATTTCTTTTGGTGATCATTTGATTCCTTAGTTCTGCACTGGGAACAAGTTCTATTGTATCCCAAGTATTCAGCACAGAAAGTGGTTTACAGTAGCCTCCTGGTGAAACCAAGATGATTTGAATTATGCAGAAAATGGATACTTCTAATTTATTCCTATGCATAGACTAAACAGAATTTACTTCTTGGTTTGTGCTAGGTGAAATAATGTCTTCTGAGTTTGTGACTTGTAAAATGATGGGTTACCATTTATAAATTTTTATTGTAAAAGCTTTCCCATACCACCCTTCCATCTGTATAAGTGTGTATCTGCACACATACATACCCAATTTTACCCTATTAGGTATGCACAGTAGGTAACATTTGGGAATGCTTGTTGGAAAAGAAAAAAATTCACCTGCAATGAGTAAAGTATAGCTACTTAAGTCATATTGAGCAAATATTATACATGACTTTGTATATTTATTAATTTTTTAAACAAATGGAAAATGATCCAAAGGGGTGAATTTTAAAAAATAAAATTAAACACTATCAAATTTGACATTGGAGTTCACTATTTTTAGCTACAGCTTTAAGAAAAATATTAATAGTTTTTAGAAGATAATATACCCCAATTTTAATCATGCATTATCTTAAAACAGAAATACACAGATTGCTGAAACAGAGTATTTGAACTTGCCTAAAAATTATGCCTACTACAAAAATGTGTTACAATCAGGGCTCTAGTTGTTCCCATGCACACGAATGTATTCTGAGTCTAATAAATAATCTCTTGTAAATTGTGGCAGAAGGTGCACTGGCAAGCATACTGATGTAGGTCAAGCCTGAAACATTCCACGGCACTTCAATGACGTGGGGGTAATTGGCTCCTCTGTATCCCTTGTCAGCTTCTCATATCAGCATGGTGTGCAAGGAGGTACAAACCTCCAGTGCTGAAAAATGGGTAATATCAACATGGAAACCCATCAAGAATATGGAGAGGACTCACTTATCATTCAGTAAACAAATACCAGAAAGCAGAAACTCTGTTATAATTCCATTTCATTTTCTTTGTGATGGTACACCTGACAATACAGTCAACATAGTAGGGTCTAGATACCTCAATGTGGAATTTCAAATATTCAATTCACTGATAAATGTATTCCGTGAATGGACACTCATATTTACCTACAGTATAACATGTCTGAAATTGAGAAATAAAATTATAAAATGATACAAATCTGTTTCCTGTTTACAACAAGAGGTTCTGATCTGGAGCATGAAATAGGTCATTTGAGAGGAGAAAACACAATAAGCATGGGCTAGCAATACCCAGGAAACTCACAGAAACAAAGAACAGGCAAGGTTTTCATATGCAGCTTCTCTTTATTATTACTTCTGGGCCAAAAGAAGGCTCACAAAATTGAAAAAGTGAGAGCAAAACGGAGCTACTAGGCTGTGGGGGCACTTACCACATCCCTGGGTTCTCCTTCTTTAGGGGTAAGGATGACTGAGAGCAAAATGATTCCAAGATCATGGTCAGGATAATGGGGATCATTCAGAGGTAGAGTCACATCTGTGAGCCTGTGATTTAAAAATATTTAGGTTTTAAGTAGTCATTAAATGAATAAACCAAAAATTAATTTTAGCAATAATTTATCATTTTATTAATTTATCAATTTTGTCTCCCCTTACTTTCTTGGTACAATTTTTGTTGTTACCAAAATATCACCAATGTATTTTGTTACCCAATAAACTGTGAGTTGAATTCACTGGATGAATTTCTGTCCTTCCTGGGATTCTAGAAAAAGGCCCAAGAAAATACAATGCTACTCAAATCACTGCAAGTCCCTTCTTCATGATATTCAACCTCACAGAAAATGGTAGCAATTATTTTCTAATAATACAAGTCTAGTAACTAAATTAGGGCTATTGGTTGATCACTAAGTCCCATTTAGCTCTTTAGGAGGGTTTTTGTTAAATTTAAGTGGAGTATTATTTGAAGTAAACAGGTGAATGGGAGAAGAAAATATAATGCATAATTTGCCTCATCTACTCTGTAGATTCAATTATACATTGAAAAACATTATATAAGTATTCATATATAAAAT